CTATGTAAATATAAGAAATATACTTCATTGAAGTTTGTATAGTGGCCGTGCATGCCTGCGGCTGAAGTTAAGAATTTGAAGCTACAACTTTATTAGAGTCTATAACACATTTGAATTGAGCCATTGTTCCGAAAATCTGGCCTAGTATGACAAGATTTTCCTGAGGAGCCCATTGTATTGTGAAGGATGGTGAACCCGTGGCACACGTAGTGGCCCACATGCCATAGTGGGCTGTTGGTTATCACTGAAAGGTTCGTCTTCCCTGGTACCACACCAGATCTTGTGCCAGGAAGCACAGTACACCTAACATTCTGATATTCACATCACAGCATAAGAGTTAAAGTGGGGAAATTACCTTAGTTAGTAGAAGTTTTCTATATACTATCAACTTTTTAACCTTTGGCCTTGAGTATAAAAAATAATGAGGCCTGAATTACTCATTTCTTCTGAGAATTGAGTCCTGATTGAATCATATTTGCTGAGGATGGATCTTTCCTACCATGAGAAGTATGTAGTTGTGTGATACCAGTGCCTCTGTGACTTCAGTTTCTGTTAGTCTGTGCTTTTTTGTTATCTTAGTTTTTTTGTACACGTTTCCAGAGGATTTTATGGAGTGCAGGGAACTGAGTGGGTGGTCATGTGTGCACCCTTCACACCCATTTAATCTAAACTTTTTTCTGTTTCTCTCTCTTATTTCATTTGAATAGAAAAATTATGCTGCTATGAGAATTTTAAATGCTACTCTATTTTCCCCATTAAGCTTATTGGTACATTTTAGGTATACGATACAGTGACATTCATCATCAAGATCTTGTACCTCTATGTGACATAACTTGGTTCTTATTTTTGCCCCATTCCTCTGCCCTCCCTTCACCCCATCTACTCTTCCCTATTTACACACATTAGATTTCTTGTAGGGAGCAAATAAAAATATAAAATAACTAAAGGAACTTTAAAACATTGTATGTATGAGTTAAGATTAGGGTCGTTTTTGGGGGAGTTTGACATTGTATGTCATTCAATCATTTGTTTAGGCTCTCTCTCTCTCTCTCTCTCTCTCTCTCACACACACACACACACACACACATACACGTCACGTATTGGTGGGGCTGGAACAAAGCAACAAATAATAACTCAGTGTGTTACAGACAAACTGATGAGCTCTTAAATACAGTGTTTTGTTTTGCTTTTTATGAGAAATATGTAGCACCTCTACAAAAACCTGGAAGAATGGGTTTTAATTTCGAATTCTGAAACTCTTTGGAATTCATGCTGTAATGTAGTGGAATGGAAAAGTGCTGCCCTCAGTCCTGTGTCCCCCCCAACTCCCCATGTACTGATTTTCCTTCCCACCTCTGACTTCCTCTTGCACTCTGGGGGGCTCATACGAATTTGTGGACACTCAGCAAGCACATTCAAGCTACATCCATACACTGGCAGGCAGCCTTCCCTGGGTTACCAGGCGCCTCTCATTGGTGTCACTCACTGCAGCCTCCTGCCTTCGGATGAATGGACCTAGACAGGAAGTCTGCAGAAGTTGACTGGTCAGGGGATTCTGGGATCCTTAGGTGTCTAGACTGATCTAGACTGATCTAGAAAGAAGGCTGTGGGTGTGGGTAAGAGTCACAACTGTAGTAGGCAGAATTCTCTACTGTGAGGGCACAGAAAGAGCTTCTCTTTCTTCTATCTGAGGTTGTACAGTTGGTAAACAAAACCTCTAACATTTTAAGACGCAATGTCTAGTGAAAGGAGGCAAAACATAAATAAATACTCAAAATTTAAAGTACTTATATAGACTGTTCCATAAAGAAAAAACCTTGAGTGAAGTAGGAAGTATCTGGGGTATCTATGGGCATGTACAGTGTTTAGAGTGAGCTTGAGAGAGATGGGAACTTCTGAGCAAGACCTGAGAGGTATGGGGATTTGAGAAAGGGACACACGGGGAGGCGCATTTTGAGAGGAAGTTGCTGGCTGATCAAAAACCCTAAGAATGAAGCATGCCGGGAGTGCTCAGAAAAGAGGCCAGCATTTCCTGAATGCTCTGAGCATGGACAGAATGAAAGTTAAAAGCAGAGAGATAGTTGATGGGGGGTCAGATCACACAGGGCCTTTTAGGTTATTTTGAAGGCTTGGGCTTTTACTCTGAAATTAGACGCCCCTGTGGAGTTCTGAGCAGAAGACTGCCTGATCATTCTTGATGTTGAGATAGGAACAACTCATGGGGACAGGGAAAGCACATAAACAAGGAGACTGTGTGGAAGGGGATGATAGCAGGAAATTGCACCAGTGGGACAGCAGGTAGAATGTGATACGTGATACGTGATTGGATTTGGGATATATTTTGAAGGTCAATCCATTAAAGTCCCTCATAGATTGGAGGGTATAAGTGGGTGTATATGTATACAGAGAGAGAGAGGGAGAGAGAGAGAGGGAGAGAGAGAGAGGGAGGGAGAGAGAGGCAACATGAGAGATTAAGGATAACGTTAAGATTTTTCTTTTTACTCTTAAAAACTGAAGGATGGATTTACTATTAAGTAAGAGGGAAAAGGCTGAGATAAAACAGGTTTACAGGGAAATATCAATGGTGTAGTTTTGGAAAATAATGAATGTGAGATACTTATTAGATATTCAAGGGGGATATTGAGTAGGCAATTGGGTATGTAATCCTGGAATTAGGGAGATATTCTGGGCTCAAGTTATAAGACTGGGAATCATGAACATATCAGTGATAGTTAAAGTCTTGAAGCCAGATGAAATCATTAAGGAGGTGAATACTGGTAAAGAGGAACAAGGGGTGAGCTCTTAAGCACCCCAGCATTGCAGACTGTGGAGAAGCCTCACTGAGAATGAGACAAAGCCCAGGAGGATGTGATACTTGGAAGCCAAGCAGCAAACTGTATTGCAAATGGCAGAGTTGTTGATCACGTTCGATATTACAGATGGATAAGATCAGACTAGGGCTGAAAATGGACCTCTGGATTTCTCTATTCAAAGGTCAAGTAGTGACTTTGTTGAGGTGGGAGGGGCCAAACACCTGCCCATAATGGGTTTGAGAGGAAACTGGGAGTCAGAGAGGCAGCCCTGGGGAGGAGCTTTGCTGCCTCTAGGGACAACTTTAATAGGTCACCCTGTGGAGGGGGAAGTTGGGTAAGGGGGAACTTTTTCTATTCTGGGAGATAAAATACCGTGATTGTATGGCGAAGAGAATTGTCCTGGGATTAGGAATCAATGTTTTTGTGAGTAGAAAGGGGATTCAGTAGTACTATTTCTGAGTGGGTCAGAGGGGATGGGCTCAGATGTATAAGCGGAGGCGCTGATTTGGGGTAGAAGCGTGGATTGTCTTCTGTGGTTTCGAGAGGTGGAGAGCAGAATCCGCTCCTTGGCGGTAGCTCAGTGGTTGAAATCTGTGGAGGTTTTCTTTGACATATTCTAATCTCTAAGTAAAGAAGGAAACAGTCATTAGTTTAGAGTGAGGGTTAGGGGAGGAATTGCTGCGGTTTCAGCAGAGAGGAGGGGACACAATTATCATCCAGCAGACAGAGAGAGCAGATGGCACCGGAGTCTGCAGAATGACTGCCCAGCGACATCAGAGTGCTCTGGACGGCGTCACCAGGTGTCTCGGAAGAGGCCCCGGAGGCCCACGGCAGACGCTGAAATACTGTTTAATGAAAAATATAGCACATAAGATCCTAATGATATCATTGACGATGTCAAATAGGAAAAAAAGGGCTAAAGGTGTAGGGAAAGTGGGAAGGGTAGGGGAAAGGTAATATGGGAAAAGAAAAAAATATGAGAAAATGAAAAAAATGGAAATAAAGTATTTGTAAATGGGGAGGGTAGGAGGGGGTGAAGGGAGGGCAGAGACAAGGGGAAAAAATGAGAATCAAGACCTGTCATGTAAAGATCCCAATGATGAATGTCACTGAGGTGAAGGGAGCAGAGACAAGGGGAAAAAATGAGAATCAAGACCTGTCATGTAAAGATCCCAATGATGAATGTCACTGTACTGTATACCTAAAATGTACCAGTGAACTCAATGAGAGGAAAAAAAATATACAGGCTTTTAGATTATATCGATGACCTAACAAAATAGCTTAATTCCTCTTTTTTATCACACACAGTAAAATCTTGCCTAAGTAAGCATTTAAAAATGTTAAGTAATTTAAATGGCAGGGGATTTTAAGGCGTGCCATTCGGTTCTCTCAAAGAATGTGAAAATCTGTACCACTGTTTATTCAAGACCTGGTGTCTATGAAGGTAGGTTGAGAAGGAAGGAAGGCACGGAATGTGCAAAAATACAAGAAGTTTTGGACAGAGAAAAGAGTTTCAGAAGTTTGAGATATTGGAGGTTGGAGACAACCAAGTTTAAAATGTGGTCACGCTTCTGACTATGGGAGAAACCCCGTCACAGTATGCATGAGTTTTGAGAAATTACCTTGCAAAGGCGTTTCTTCCGACAATTAGATTTAAGAATTTTTGTATTTTTGGTTTTCTTTCTTCTCTCCTTCCTTCTCTCTCTCCCTCCCTTCCTTAGTTTTCTTGTGATATTGGGTTTAAATCCGGGGCATTCTACCTCTGAGCTATGTCTCCAGCTCTTTTTTTAGTCTTAAAATTTTGTGTCAGTGAGTCATACAGATTGGCGTCAAATTTGAGATCCTGTTGTTCTACGTCCTGAGAGGTTGGGTCTTTGGCAAAGTGTCCGGCTTGGGTTTCTGATAAAAAATAACTTTGCTGGTGCTTATCAATGTTTGTCAATAAATAGGATTATAAGTAGATACATAGATAGTATATATTTATTTTAATTAACAATATAGTTATACTTAGAACTTGAATTAATTGGTTAGATTTATTGATTTGCTTCTCTTTCTTGGAAAATACATTAAAAGTATTATTACTATTATTATTATTATTTTTTTTTTGGTTTTTTGAGACAGGGTCTCACTGTGTAGTTGAACCTGACCTGGAACTCACTATGTAGCCCAGGCTGGTCTTGAACTCACAGTGATCCTCCTGCCTCAGCCTCCTGAGTGCTGGGATTACAGGTATGTGCCACCACCAGCTAAAAGTATTACTTTTAACTGTAAGCAAAAAGATCTTAAGAAAATAAGGAAAGAACAGAGAGAGAATAAATAATTATAACAGGCTGACTTTGATTATTTTTCTTATGTCCCTAATATCCTATGCAACAAAGATATCCTGCTTTTGTGATAAAGAGACCTAGGAGTGAAAAAAAAATCAGTTAATGAATAATGCATATGTTCGTTGTAATGGTCAAATTATGCTGTTTCCTAGTGGATACCATTTTTCTTCATTGAGCAGGACACTACAGAGTTGGATGTTAATTGCTCCCACAAAAACAGTTTTACTCTTCACAATAAGCATTAGGACATGCCCTCGGAGCTCTGCGACTTCATCATATACCACCTGAAAAAGGGGAGAAAAAACAAAATAGAGATAAAGAATAAATAACTATAAAATAGTTATGACAAGCTTAAGTGTATCTTTCTTTCAAATACTGCTTTTAATAAAAAGAAAAATGTAGCTGCTAGTATTTCATGCCCTGGAGTGGATAAGTTAATGTTAGAATTTTTCATTTCTAATGCTAATTCCAAAAAAGGTAAAGTTCTAAGGAGTTTAATGACAGACTGTTTCTCAAAGCACCTTAGAATATACCAATTCCATTAAAATTTTCTACAAATTCAGTGAGACCATGAATTACTTTCTGGAAACAAATTAAAATATTCTTCGTGTTTCTACATCCTTGATTTACTGCGTGTCATTTGAACTTGAACACCATATTTCTGTGTAAAGGCTAATGAGGAAGACTGATTTCTATGATTTTCTTGTGCTATCTAAATGTAGTACCACAGTATTTCCTTGTGTATATAGAGAAATCACCCTATGATTACTTTTTTACTTAAAATTGCTTAATTTTTAATTATGAAAGCACATGTTTATTCAATAAACTATGTATGAAACAAAAAAGAGCAGGAAGGAAGGAAAACTTTGAATTTCCACTGCTGGGAGATAATTGCAGTTAACATTTTGATATTTCTGTTTTCTGTATATAATCATGTCTTAAGAATCTGACCTGTAATTATGCTGTATGTGCAGTTTTGTGTCTTTTTTTTTTTTTTCATGTGACTCTCTTTTAAAAAGAGGGATCAGCACAACTGTGCTTTATAATATCCAGGAAAGTTACAAGCGTTACCATGGGGCGCCTGCTGGGGTAAAGAGAAGTTGAAAGTGTAGTACTACAATGACAGTAAGTTACCCACATGAAGTGGGGTGGGGAATTCAGTGGAAATCTGATGTGGTTGCCAGGGAAATGTGTTAGAACTTATTTAGAGAAGGAGTTTCACAAGATGCAACCAGCTTGCTTTTTACAGGCACGTTACAAGATGGAAAGAAACGATGTCAATATAGGCAACCCAGAGGCAGAAAGAATTCCTGTGAGCTAAGTGGAAGGCCTCCTCAGTGAGTGTGGATTGGTGTCTGGACCTTTGCATAGCACAGGGTACCGTTTGTGGACACATTGCCTTCTCAGTGACGTTCAGTTCGAGGAGCGTCTGTGCACTACAATGGAAATCACTCCCTTGTCAAACAAATCAGGATCAATCGAGGGACGTGACATGCAGTATGAGGTCAGTCCAGTCTACCTTGGTCTAGGAGTTCTTCTGACTCCTCCCTTTTCTAATATCTTACTTGCATTTTTTTAGTTTTCTAGTGTTTCTCATTCAATTTTTTTCTCATTGAATTCTTTTATGATAATAAGATTTAAAGAACCACTTTAAACAAAACCCCACACCTCTAAATCATGTTCTTTAACTGCAGCTGGATGCCTAATTCTGCCTAGAAAACTTTCCAGGACTTCCACAGAACCTCCTCTCCTCTTTCATCTGCAGTGATCTCTGAACTTTCAAAGTTATTCTCCATTTTCCTTCCTGTAACATTCTCAGCAGATGAACTCCTCTGTGGTTCGACAGAGAAAACAGATGAAGGCGCTCTCAAAGTGTCATAGTGTATGAAACACAAAAATAGAATAGCTCCAAGCACCAGGCCTCTGGAAAAATCTGGCTCAAAGACTTTGTGCATTGTGTAAATAAGTCCTGAAAATGTAAAGTTTAAGAAAATACACCAGTGAGTTATATTTACATGGATCTCTTGTTACCTGTTTTGTTACTTGCATAGTGGTACTAGTAATTACCTTTAGCATTGTGGGGGAAAAATAAATGAAAATAATATAAGCTTTCCTACAAATCCTGGGCTCTATGCAACTCTGATAAATTACAACTAAAACATATCCGTCAAATATATGAAAAGGGGAATTATTTCTCGGTGTTTTGTATCAGCTTTTCTGGAAAAAAATAAGTTCTCTTGGCTATCTAGCAAGCTGAAGCTTCAATAAATGACTTTAGGAATTAATTATCTTCTTGATTAAAATGCTAACATTTGAACTTGCAAAGTTTATATTATGTAATGGATTTTTAAACCTGTGCTTCATTATGCAAGTTTTTCTTAAAAGTGACAGAAGATTTATAAATGTGTAATTATTGTACATCATGTGTGATATATGTCTTTTTTAATTGCTTTACTACACCACAGCATTTTTTAAAAAAATGACATTCTTTTTTTTAAAAAAAAACCTATGCAATGAGTAATTAGTGGGTAAAGCTACAGAATTACACAGATAAATATATTCTTTGAGATGTTTTCACAAAATGATTTAATATGCATTCTGCCTTCATATAAACAGAACCATAAATGAACTTTTAATTTCACTTATAATAATTTTTACCCATAAGCATGAACCAAATCTTCATTACCTTCTGACAAACACTGAATTTGTGGGTGTGGAATTATTCTATCCAGTAGAAAACCTTTAATGTAATTGGTATCCATTCACTATAAACAAGCATTCACTGTACATTATTTGACACGAAGGTCTAGTAAATAATTCTAGAGTGAGTTTTCATGATTGCAGTGGGAAAACAGTAGGATGGTAATTGGTGGGTCTGGAGCTGGTGGTAAGAGTTTTGAGGAGGCAGGATGATAAGAGAGTTCAAAACAAGTGCAATAAGAAGAACTGTGTGGGTGGAGAGGGTATAGTAGGGAGTGGGTAAGCACAGTTCTGGGGTCAGGCAATTCTAAGCTTGAAAGCAAGTTATGGGACCTCTGGACCTCAGTATCTTCATTTGCAAATATAGGCAGGTGTTGCTTAATGATGGTGTATATTCTGAAAAATATTCCTTTAGGGGTTTTGTTTTGTGAATGTCAGGCTGTGCTGATGCAAACTAAATTGGCTATAATGCCTGCGGGTGATGTAATTTTATGGAACCACTGTCTTATACGCAGCTCATCCTTGACTGAACATTACAACGTGGTGCATGATTGTACCATTCTCGCTATGTTGTGAAAATCAGATGACATGATGAACAGGTAAGAAGAGCTATGGGTTACTGAGTGTACTCTATACCTAGCACTGGACGCAATCACTGCACACAGTGTTCTGCAAGAGATTTTAAGATAGGTAAAGCACCCATGCTGTGTCCTTTCTAATATTTCTTTTATGCTTTATAACAGGATAATATCTCAGAAAAGAATGCAACTTCCAAAATACATTGACTATAACAATGTAATTCTGTTATAGGAGAGAAATTCTGTACTTCTAGTGAATCATTTGAAAATGATGGCTTGTAAGAAGATGCCAAAGATATTAGGGAGGAAAGAGCAACAGGTTTGGAGCCAGAAGCCTCGCTCTGCTTCTGAAGGCTGTGACGGCAGTGCGCTGAGCATCCTGCCCCAGCTCAGCATGCACTTGAGCCCAGTCTTGCCTTCACTGGGATTCGTATGTGACAGGGCTTTTCAAGGAGACTGGCAAAACCTGTTGAGATGCATTCTGGGAAGTGTCAGATAAAGGAGCTGGGCTCTGCACCAAAGCCTTAGGCTCTGGAGAGTGGAGATTCTGCCATTTGGAAGTGTCCCTGACCCGCGTTCTCTTCTGTCTGAGTACGATGGGCCTATGGACAAAAATGGAAAGAACGATTTTCATGAAAAACTTTGCACTGTATCCTATGTACTGTGATATCCCCTTTGTATTCAACTAAGAGATTTATACAACAATAAAGGGAGTGAGGTCACCCTCTCTGACTTCATAGCACACTGCCTGTTTTGGGGAGCCCAGCTGCAGTGGGTGGCAGCATGCCCTACAGAGTGGAAGGGCGGCAGACACTTAAAGACAGGATGGAGCTGTGTGGTAGATTCTCTGGGCCCTCTCACCAGCCCAGGGCTTACTAGTAAGGACAGTTAGTGAGGTGTGATGAAAGATGTGCAGAAGTAAATTAGGGATTTTGCAGAATGATGGGCCCTATGTCACACATGAGGGAAAGAGGAAGGAAAATCAGATATGGAAGAAGTGTATTTTTTTTTTTTGCATTTCTTATAGCTATTCCTGCTGTATGGTGCAGACACTGTATAATAGGAGAAAAATGAGAATATTGTGGCCTCTTTTTCTCTCATGCTGTCCAAATTCAGCCAGCTCCCTCGCCAAATTCATTTATGTGATGATCTCTTGCTGTCTTGATGACTATTATTAAAATAGTCCCTTATGCATACATTGCTTCAGATTTCTGTTGGACCAGATTATGCACAGATTGGAACTGGCTGTGCATCAATTCTTTTTTTTTTAACAGTAATTTTAAAAGTGGCCAAAGAATACATAGTGTGTGTTTGTGCCACAAGTATAGTTAAATTCTGAAAATACTGTAGTGATTTCTAATCAGTGAACTGTGGGTGAATGGAGACCGAGAATTATTTCAAGGCATTGAGAAATTATTTACACACCTAGAATTGAAAGTAATTTCCAGGCATGTGTTTTTATTGCTGCTTTTATAAAACACAAAGCTTGAAATAAGTTAAATGTTAGTTTACTTAAATTATCCTGATTTTCTAGTGGCCTTTTATTATAATGTATTTTCTTAGATTAGCCATTATGACGTATAGCATAGATCAGAGAAGTTTCTGGGCAATAGGTATGGAGTCTCACATTCAAAGAGCACAGAAAGAAACAAGTAATATATTATTAGAGAGTGTATATCTCTAGCTATTGACACTAAAAAATATAACAAAATGTCAAAATATCTTTGCTCAGAGTGTCTCTGTCTATAAAATATAAATACACGTTTATAAATATATACATTTACATTTTATGAAATATAAATATACATTTATAAACACATAAATTTACATTTTATATACATTTGCATTTTATACACAGCGTCACTTATAAAACTACTGAAAATATTTATTCACACCCTTTGAGAAGTAGCTAAGTGTTAAAGACAGTAGGCAAAAAGAGACATTTTCCCTTTCCTTAAGAAGTTGATATGACACTGGAAGAACAAAAAAGTGCTTACAGCCCAATGAAAGATTCTAAGTGTGGGGTAAGAGTACAGGCAGTGAGCTTGTTCACAGAGTCTGCTCTAAGGTAAGACTGAAATGGGCAGAGGAGGGACAAGTGCGGGGAGCAGGCACCGAGCCCACCCTGAGGTCCCAGTCACCACTCAGGGACTGACAAGGGTCCAACATGACCTGAGAACGTGGATAAATGCGGATCAAGAGGGTGAGGACACAAAGAGCCCTGGGTGGCTTCAGACGAAGCTGCCAGAGAAATTTGATGGAGGAAGAAGCATGTTTTTAACAAATGCTGCTGAAGTAATGGCAACTGTATGAGGGGGTGGAGGGAAATGAAACCTCATGCTTTATTAAAGGATTAACTCAAAATAGATAATAGACTTAAATAGAAAATGAAACACCATGAAGCTAACAGTAAAACATATATCCAAAAGTGTTTGGGTCTTGGTGCTAAGCAGAATTCTTAGATTTGAAACCAAGAAAAAAATGTACTAATAAAGAAAAAAGAAAAAAGATGAGAGACATCGCAACTTATTTTATTGAAAATATACAGAAAAGAAAAGAAATATGTTTCCAAAGAAAATATAAGCCCATGAATAGAAGTTCGCATCATTAGTTAAATTTTAATTCAAACCATAAGGAGATGCTATACTGTATCTACCAAAAGAACTAAGATAAAAAAATAGGGGCAACAAGCGCTGGAAAGAATGCAGGAAATTGCATCCTTCGTACGTGAAGTGTAAGATGGTACAGTAGCTCCCTTTATGTGCTGGGGACACTTTCCAGAACACCCTGTGGATGCCTGAAATCACACATTGTACTGAATCCTATGTTTTCCCCTAATCACACATGCCTAAGCTAAAATTTAACTTATAAATTAGGACTGGCAAGAGGTTAACAATAGTTACCACTGATAAAATAAAACAAGGTAACAATATATGGTACCCAAACTTATGGGAATACTCCCCCCCAACATCCTAAAGTATTAAACTCACTCTTGTTGTGATGAAATAGGCCAGCATCATTATTTTTTGCCTTGGGGGCCATTGTTACTTAAAATAAGGATTACTTGAGCGCTTCAATACTGTGACAGTATTAAAGATAACTAAGAAATCTACTCGGTCAGTAATGGGCAGGTAGTGCATTGAGCATGCATATACTAGACACAGGGATGGGTTATGTGGGAGGTGTGGGATGCTGTAAGATTGCACCACACAACAGAGAATGGTATGGAATGTACAACACATGAATTTTTTTTCTGGAATTTTCCACTTAATAATTTTAGACTTAATAAATTTAGACTATAAAGATGGAAACTGAGAAGGGACTACTGCAGAGCTTCTCTGTCATTGGAAGGTGTCGTTGACATGGCAAAGAGAAGAGGGAGGCCTGGTTTAAAAGTGACTAGGAGACATTAAATGAAGGTCTCTGGGAATCAGGAAGATGTGTAGATAAAGAGCTTGAGAGGAAAGCCAGGGCTTGAAGAGTTAACTCAGATCTGACTTCCATAGAGAGGATACAATGTATAAACACACATACATAAGCTAAGGATGAGAGTGCATATAGCTGTCCATTAGTATCCCAGATTCCCCAAGGACACCCAAATCCAAGGATGCTCAAATCCCTTATATAAAATGCATAGTGTTTGCATACTGTGTATGCATATCCTCCTGAGTGATTTAAATCGTCATCATCCTTAGACTATTTATAATACCTAATACAGTGTTCATTTGGTGTAAATAGTTACACCACATTGTTTAGGGAATAATGATGGAGAAAAGTCTATACAAGTTTAGTACAGAGGCAATTTTTTCCCTAATATTTTCGAACTGTGGTTGGTTGAATCCTAGGGTGCAGAACCTGTAGATAAAGTCCTACTGTGCAAGAAGAGGAGGAGGGACTGGGTGAGGCTAGCTTGGGGTTCACTGAGCTTAGCAATTAGGAGTGTATCAATGCCACCAGAATAAAGCACTAAAAATAAAAGTCAGAATCCACATTTGCCAAGGATTAAAAGGTAAATGGGAAGTAATAAGGTAACTGCGAATAGTGACAATTTTCCAAAAACTTAGAGGTGTTGGGGAAGGACAGGAAAGTTCTGTGGAAATGCAAAGTAAGAAAGATGTCTTTGTCTTTACAGATTCCTGAGGGGAACATTTGAGCATCTTTTAGGTGAGACAGCTGGAAAAATGAGTGAGCAACCAACTGAGCAAGGTAGAGAAAAGATAGAAAAGGGTTAACTAAAGAGAATAAGTGCAGGGCTTTGCCTTAGAAGACTGGACATTCAGGCTGTGTGTTACAAATGCATTATGAAACTACTACAGTGACTTTAATTTGGGTTTTATTTTTTCAGTGTTTCAAAAGAGATTCTGTGAGATTTACTATTATACACTGGGTAGTTTACGATAAAATTATTAGGCAAGGAAAATCAAATGCAGGAAAATCAGATTAGAGAAAACAAGATGAAGTCAGGGACCATGTTAGTATGCAGAGCAAGTCTCAGGCTTTTGCTGGGGTTCACCACGATGTGAAAATTGGTTTGTAAGAGCTTTGAAGCAGTAACTGTCGTTTGCAGTGCTTGTAGCATCTAGGACAGCCATCAGCATATTGTGACTATTTTGAGACATCTATTTCCCTTATGAAATAATGCTGCCAATTACTGCAAATTTGGTTGTTCAGCTAAAAAATGGTAAGGAAAACACAAAATGACTGGACAGGAGATGAATCATACTTACAATCTCATTGTAAGTGGGGTCGGTGCATTTTGGAACAGATTTTGTTTTCCTCCTACGAACTTCACTGGGAGATGGTAAAAGATAAAATTCAACATGTGCGCTGGGCGCAGAGCCATCTGGGAGATGCTACAAAGGAAAACGGTTATAAATATTAATGTGTGCTGCTATCAAAGAAAACAAATACATAGCTACTAAATATCCAGACCAAAGGCAGGATCAGGATTTATTACAGTCACTTTATCAGAAAATAAGAGAAAAATCAAAAGAAATACATCATTGCCCCCAAAAAGATCTCAACCGCATTTTAAGAGAGAAAAATTGTTCACTTTAAATGAAGTGTTGGGTCAGAGAAGTGAGTTTAAAAGTCCATTAAATATAATTTACTTTAGCTTTTTTTTTTACAGTAAAATCTAAATTTGCATGTTTGACAGCTAAGGCCAAGGGGTGAATATTAGCCTCAAGCAGAGACAGGAATTAAGTGCCTCAGGATACATCACTTGGAAACCAAAAATAAAAATAAAAACAAAAAACGAATTCAAGTTTAACACATACATGAAGTGCAACATTCAGTGATATGCGTGCTGACATCATATCATAGCACATCTGACAGAAATTGCATTAAATTAGTGATTAGATCCACAACTAAAATACTTATAGCATTTTAATATATCTACAATAATTTTCTTATCTAAGTCACTACAATATATGTTGGATGGTCACTTTCAAATGTATTTCTGTGAAGTTCCAAATTTGCCAACTTGCTGCCTGAGTAGAGCTCTCTGGACCCCGTTCCACCTTTCTTGATTCCCTATTTTTCTTTTCCATCTTTACTTCAAATCCATTGTGATAACTTCTGTTTCTTAATAAATCTTTTGAAGAATGAGTCCAAATCCTCAAAAAATTGGTAATCTCCATACTTGAAAGAAATAGATCTTCTTACCTTTATAATTTTCACCCAATCGAGAGTAAATGACCCTAAATCTCTGACAAAATGAGAAATATTCATAGAATTTACATTTATAAAGGATGATTTAGGGGGAATTAATAGTTTTTTTTTGTTTTCTACATTTTATTAAATCTGTAATTTTCAACAAATATATCTTAATGTTTTGAAGCACAGTTATATCCACATGTAAATAATCAGTACCATCTCCTCCCACATTAGTTATAATTTTATATCTCTCTTTGGGACTCAAGGAAGGATATTGGAAAGCAAATTATATATGTGACTTTAATTCAGTTCAAATCTATCAATAGCATAATTTTCAGTGACATAAAAATGAGTATTAGAAAGGATGGATTTCTTTTCGGTAAAGAGGTCAAAGTGTTTTGGCTCTTTTGCCAGTGGAAGTGGCCTCCCTACTGGCTTTCTATCCCTGTCTGAAAGTATTAATCCTGCACTGTCTGTGGAAATGGGAAGCGCCTCACCTGAGGCAGGTGCCATGCAAGACATAACTTATTTTTCTCAGCACCTAACCCCATCTCTCTTTGCTTCTAGACCTATAACTAGATTCAAGTACCAGCAGACTCTTTTTTTTATTGAGTTTATTGGTACATATTAGGTGTACAGTACAGTTACATTCATCATTGGGATCTTGTACCTTTACGTGATGTATCTTGGTTCTTTTTTTTTTCCCCCAACCCTTGCCCTCCCTACACCCCCTCCACCCTTCCCTATTTACAAAGACTTTGTTTCCATTTTTTCCTTTTCTTATATTTTTTTCTTTTCCCCTCTCCTTCCCACTTCCCCTTTAGGCATTTTCTTCCTATTTCACATTATCAATTTGAACCTTATTTACACTTTTAGTTTTTCACACGAGAGAAATTATTTGGTCTTTCCATGTGTGTCCTATTGATTTCACTTAAGAGTATGGCCTCAATATGTATCCATTTTCCTAAAAATGACTCTAGTTTCTCATTCTTTATGGCTGAATAGTACTCCGTTTTATATAAAAAAACCACATCTTTATTCAGTCTCCAGTTGCTGAGCAATTGGGCTCTTTCCAAGTTTTAGCTATTACAAACTGTGCCGCTGTAACATGGGTGAGCATATATTGCTATGGTATGATTCTTTTAATTCTTTTGGAAAGGTAGCCAGCAGAGGGATACCTGGGTCAAATGGGAGCTCTAATCCTAATTTTTTGATGTATCTCCATACTGATTTTCGCAGTAGTTGCACCAGTCTGCACTCCCACCAACAATGGAGAAGGGTTCCTTTCTCCCCTCAGCACCACCAGCATTTGTGTTATTGATTGATTTCTAGATAGCAGCCTTTCTTTCTGGGGTGAGGTGGATTCTCAGTGTTGTTTTCATCTGCATCTCTCGAATGACCAGTGCTGTTGAACATTTTTTCATATATTTATTTGCTGCTTTTATTTTTTTTGTCTGAGAAGTGTCTGTTCATTTCAGAAACCCATTTTTGAGTCAGGTCTTTAAATTTGGGAGGTGTGATTTTTTTGAGTTCTTTAAGTATTCTAGACAATAGACCTTTGTCTTAGGAACAGTCTCAGCAGACTGAAAGGTATGATTCAAATTGTGACCCATAAGATGTACGCTATATCCCAAGAAACTACTTGAGTTTTCTGATATTTACAGGCAGAAATCTGTGTAACAGGTGTGGTAACAGATATTTAAGAATGTGACATAATGGCATAAGGTATGAAAAATTATATCAAGTTGAATTTTTTGTCACATTCCTGCAGCATAGTTCCCTAGGATTTTAGAGCAAAGTCTTACTATCATCCTCAGATAAAAACTCTTGCTTTGGAAACAGCTCTTGACCTATTTATTAGAGATGGAATACTCAACTACGTGCCACCCAAGTGCCAAATGCTCTGATTTGTCCATCATGAACTGGGTGTTATCTGACCACCACGCCATAAAGTGGAGGGTACACTCTATCATCAAATGGGAGTGTCCTGTATGTGATGAGGCTTGAGCAGGCCCTGATGGAATAAGAAATTACACAAAGTGGTGCAAACGCCCAGGATTTCCATTTCTGCTACTCTGTCTTTTTTCCCCCATCCTGCACTTATGGGTTCCTGGAGAGTTTCCCATGATTTCTTTTTTAAACTGAACCCAAGGCATTGTGCATGCTAGAGCTAACTTCCCCAGTCCCCTTTGATTGGTGACAGAGGAGGAGATGGTCCAGGCTAGATTGGCAGATGCTTCTGGGCCATGTGCAGGGACCACCTGAAAGTGGACAGCTGCAGCACTACATCTCCCTTCTGGGACATCCTGAAGAGCAGTGATTTGGAAAATTCTCCCATTGGGCAGAACTTCAAGCATTGCACCTGTGAGTCCACTTTTCTTGGAAAGAGAAGTGACCAGATTGTGTTTATAAACTAATTTATAAGCTACGACCCATGGTTTGTCTGTATGATCAGGGACTCGGAAGAACACTGTAGCAAAATAGTTGATATAGAAATCTGCAGATGAGATATTTGGCTCTCTCTGAATGGGCATAACAGCGTAAAGCTATTTGTGTCCCATGTGAATGCTTATCAAAGGGTGCTCTCAGCAGAGAATGATTTTAATTATCAAGTATGTAAAATGATCCATCTTGTAGACACCATTCAGCCCCCTTTTCTAGCTACCGCCATCATTGCTCAGTGCACCCATGAATGAAGCAGACATGTGATAGGAGTGGAAATTTTGCATGGGGTTGGCAACCTGGACTTACCCTCAACACCTTTGGTGGTGTGACCACTGCAGTGTTTCATCTACGAAGGAAATCTACATTTCTTATTAGCACAGGAATTTCTTGATTTGCTGACCTAAAGATTTTAGTTGCAGAGGGAGAAATGATTCTGCTAGGAGCTACCACAATGATTCAACTGAATTGTACTGTAAGGCTGACACCTGGACATATTTCTAAATCCAAATGGAAAAATGTTACAGTGCTGGCTGTGGAGCCTGATCCTCATTATGGAGGGGAACAGGACTACTACTCCCCAGTGGAGATAAGGAAGACTATGTTTAAAGCATAGGAGATCCTTAAGGGTATCTCTGAGTATTACATGCCCGTGATTAAGGGCAGTGGTAAATGACCACACAACAGGCAGGGTGATTAATGGTCCAGAATGCGTGGGAATGAATGAGTTAGTACACTCAGTAAGGAACCACAACCACCAGGGTTATGTACCGAGGGCAAAGAGCACGCAGAGTGAATGAAGGTGGTTATGAATACCAACTACAACCGCACAACAGTTAGAGATGAAGAATAAGCTCGCTGAGTATTTTCTCCTTATTTGTCATGGATTTATATGCATTTATAGCAAATATCTTGGTTTTCTTTCTTCTCTCATTTCTTTATGTAACCTAAAGCGTATTGACTTGTATCATAGTATTTAAGTATTTAACTTTACCTCAGAGTATAAGCTTGGGATATCAAGGAGGAAAGCAGACACCACTTAAGGACTTTTCCTCCTCTGAGGAAGGGGTTAGTATGTTTTTGGTTGTATACAACATAGTCATATCGCATAAGATAGAGTTGTGACTTTGTGGTTGTCTTTATTATACTATAGTTAAAGAGATGCATAGAGGTGTCAAGTTGATGAGTGGTGGATTTAAGATGATTAATTTTATATGTCAACTCGACTGGGATACTCAGATATGGGTTAAAAATTCTGAATGTAGCTTTCTGTGAAAGTGAATCTGGAGAGTAAGTAGGGCATATGGTCTTCCCCAGTGTGGGTGGACATTATCCAGTATCTCAAGGGCTTGACTACAACAAAAAGGTAGAGGTGGGAGAATTTTCTTGCTGACTGATTGGGATAGGTTATCTCTTGCCTGTAGACTGGGACCCAAACCATCTGCTTCCTTAGCTCTTCAGCTTCTGGACTTGGGCTGGAACCAAACTGCCAGCTTCCTTGGATTTCCAGCTTGAAGACCGTGGGAAATTTTGGTGTTCTTTAATCCCATAAGCCATTTCCTCTCAGTGTATTTGTTTATATCTATGTCATTAGCTGTACCTTCTTTTGTATCTAGCCATATCTCAGTGGTTTTGTTTCTCTGGTGAACGCTAATACATAAGAATCTTAACTTCTCAATGGACAAATTTCCTTATCTGCTAAGTGCAGATAAAAATGATGCTTATCTCGTAGGATTTTAAAGATTAAATAAAA